CTCTTTAGGTAATAGTAAGAAGAACGAAAAATTTTACCATTTAAAACACATTACTTTTACAAATCATTTGGAAGTTAAGAGTTGCAAAAATAATTTATTTAATTAATGAGAGCTCTGATGTCTTTAATATTGTAAAAAAAAGGTTTCTCAAAATTGAGCAAAAATGTGTCAAAATAGTTTCAAAACAAACCTAGTCGAATTTGAAAATCGAATGTATTCAAACAGCATATGTCCCGCCGTGGACTGATCGTTAAGACACGGTTCCCAGCAGATCACCGAAGTCAAGTATCACTGGCTGCGGTCAGTGTGCGGGTGGGTGACAGCTTGGATTAGTCTGCGTAGGGACCAAGGGTGTGCTGTATTGGTCCCAGTTAAACTGCTCTAACTTAAAGTGCTCGATTTCGTGAACAGGTCTTCGGGCTACCGAAGCGGGGGTGCCATCCCCTCTGCGGAGGATCAAAATTGTGATGGCATGTCTTCGGATCATCCTCAGGGATGTTTCCCAGACCGTCACCAGTGCCCCATTGTGCAGCTCTAGTGCGACGTAAATGAACTACAACAACTTCAAACAGCATGTACTCATTTTTTAATAAAATGTATAACCTCAAAAGCGATAATGAGGAAGAAATGTGCAAGAAAGATATTTGTTGACAGCTGTTTTCAGGAATCGGACCAAGGACTTATATGTTCATAGTAAGCTACTCTAACCACCACTGTTGTACATCCCAGTGCAGAGATAGTTAAGAAGCTTTATGTAGAAGCCGCCGCAATATGACGCAGCATGATATACATTCCATTCGCTCAAATTTTTTTAAGTTCTAGCTAAATGAGCAGAAATCGAGATTCAAGTTACCGATCGTCAGACTAAGCTATTGGAACCATATTTTCCAAATTGCAACCTTTTTTTACCACTGGAATTGGATACAATGATCATGACGTATCATTGCAGTGGACACTTTCGAAAGCTTCCTTACTTTCCCTGGACTGGAGTGCACAACTATGGTGGTTAAAGCATCCGACAACGAACCCGGTGGTTTTTGGTTAGAATCCTATTGCACCCAATGAGCATATGTTTCTCACACATTTCGACCTCCACGTCACTTCTGAGACTGTGCATTTTGCTCAAAAATAAGCTCAAATATAAATATTGAAGACCCGATCTGCAAAAATTGAAGTTAATTAACCCACCAACCACATGCATTTCAATGATACATAAATGGCTTTACTTAATGGCATAACATATGCATTTACATTAAGTGAATAATTTCTTCTGTTAAGTACCACTTTAATTTAGAAAAAGAACTTTTTGTTGACTTTACATATATTAGCATTTATGTCCAGGGCTCGAAAAACAGCCCGTCCGCCCGTCCTCGACGGTCAAAAATTCTCCGCGGACAACGAATTTCTCGAATCCGACGTCCGCGCGGGCGGCCATTTTCCCGTTAATGTTCGTGATACATTTTCAATTTTTGTTATCTTACAAGAGTCTTGTAAGTTACAAGGCAGCAAAATGACCCACAATACAGCAACATACTGCGCATATATTGATGTTTTCTCTGTCTGGGAGTACTGCAGCGGTTGAAAGGGGCTTTGCATCAATAAACTTACAAAAAAAACACAATACGTACTGGTCTTAAACAAGAAACTTTAAAAGCAATTTTGAACATCTACCTAAATGGAATACCCCTTTCAGATTTTTGTTCAGAAACAGCTGTAAATTATTGGCTTGATTGTGGAACTGGCAAACGTCATATTTGATTCATTTAAAAAACGCAGTACCCTCGGATAACTTGACATTCCAGATAACTTGACCCTTGTCATTTAAATTATTTCATAAAAGAAATACTAGGTTACTATTAGTAACCTAGTATTTCTTTTATTACTGTATAATGTAATCCTAGTAACGACTAATTCATTGTGCAATTATGTTAAATGTTGTATTCATTATGCATTGTGTATAAATGTTTGTAATAAATAGGAGAAAATTATATATTTTTTTATTTAAAAGCGACGGGTTAGTTTGAACGGAGGACGGGTGCATTGTTGGACGAGCCGTCCTCGGGGACGGGTAAAATTTCTGAGTTTTTTCGAGCCCTGATTTATGTCATCAATACATCATGTTTGACAAAACTATCTTAGCTTGGCAAAATAAATGCTAATTTTGAAACAGTTTTACTACTATATTTTACTTCCTTTTTCTTTTCTTTTTTTTAAAAAAAAGGATCTGTTCTTTTACAAGAGTGCTAAGAGCACACGTGCTTGTAGCTTCTGAAAAATAACTTAAAAATTTTTAAGAAATATATTCCGATCTAAAACTTTTGAAGATATTTTAAAACTGAAATGTAAATAAAATGGAACGTTTCTAGCAGGTTTATGAAAAATTTGCTAACTAGCTTAAAACATTATCATGTATGTTTGAAAATTTAAAATTGGATACTTCGGAATCGGGCGAAATTTAAATGTAAAATAGATCTATTAGGTGCATTAAATAGTCACAGTTCCAGCAGTTAGACAAATTATAGATTAGATTAATGCCGTTGGGTTAACCTTGGGATGCTTATATGGTTCTTCCTCTCTCTCTGTAACGTTATGTAGATCACAAAATGTGCAGCTTACTTCACTGTTAGTCGGACCTCTATTTAAGGAAGTCGTTAAATCCCGATAATAAGTTCGTTATATGGAAAATTCGCTAAATAGAAAGTCACCTTTTAAAACAACACAAAACAGGTTTGAAAATCATGAACACTAGGCATAATTAAAATAGCAATCGATACACCTTTATCTTGTAAACTAGCATCTACCATTTATTTTATAAATCTTAACCATAAATGGAATCTGCATGGAAAGCAAGAATAGAGCAAAACATTATCCAATCTTACACTATCATGCTACATACATTTTCAACTAAAAAAAAAAAAAAAGAAAGCCACATTTATGTATAAAATTATAGCTGCATTTATTATAAAGGTAATTTTAAACATGCATTACCACATGCATTCTTAAGTTTAATTGCTACTGATAAATACTGATAAAATCCGTTAATTTGGACTGAGTTTTTCATTTGAAATGCAAACGGAAAAGGATTTTACTGCTTTGTGAAACATTACATAAAGCAGTGACTTCGAAAATTAATTCCAGTTCATTTCCTCCATAAAATGCGTTAACAGGCTTGAAATGTTCTGAAATATTTTAGAAAATAAGGAAAGTGGTTCTCAAAGAAAAGTTCGTTAAATAGAAAATTCACTTTGCTATATGGAAGTTATTTTACGAAGAAATTTCCAAAATGTTCTTGGTTCCTTGTTGCAAAATAGAGAAAATAGAGAGCAGTTGCAAAACTGCAAAAGTTGCAAAATAGAGAAATTCGCAAAATGGAAGTTCGTTATATAGAAGTCCGACTATATTTGGGGGGGGGGAGTGAATGTTCAATATTTTTTTCATAATCAGCAGGAAAAAAAGTTTTTAAAAAAAACTTCTAACATTTCTCTCAATATATAAAAGCAAAAATCTGTCGGGGTGTAATTTCTCTAACTAGTCGAAAACGGGAGCAACGAGATTTATTAAAAATGACACCGGCATTGTTGAGGATCAGCTCCCCATAAAAGTTTATTTTCTTTTGCATGTTTTCTTTCCTTCTACCGTAATATTTCGTTCTATGAACTTTTATTGCAGAGTGTTATCATTTATCATTTAATTTTATCGTATGATACAAAATAATATTTGTAGAAAACCACTTATCATTGTGAGTTTCTTTTAAAAAACACAAAAACTACTTAGAAAATTGTTGGAAGCTCTTTAAATTTTTAAGATATTCAAATCAATTTTTTTTATTAGTTACCAAATGTGATTCACTACAAAATGAGGAAAGAATTTTTTTAATTTTTTCTGCGCATTTGGAATATAAAAAAAACTAATTTAATTACTACTTATACATCGCACAGTTTTCAATGAATCTTTTTCGAATTTTAAGGTAAACATTTTGCAATCAATTTTAAATTGCTCTAAAAATTTTGTTTAATTTTAATGAAAATTTTTAAAGTTGCAGCAATACGGAAATTTTGTGTAATCATTGCATGTTGTAACCAAAATGACTGTCACAAGTTACAAATCTATTTTTGGAAAAGGGTGCTCTAAAACACTATTTTCCGTTCGTAATTTGTTGTTGGTTCCTCAAACCTCTAAAAGCTTTAAACTTCATTGATATGTATGAGAAATTGCATGATCTAAACCAGGGGTTTCCAACTTACATGAGGCTGGGGGCCACAATTAAAAACACAAATCAGATGGCGGGCCGCAACTTTGTCAAAATTTTATGTAGGACTCTTTTATGTTTGAAGGAACATTAAATATTACTGTCAGATTTTTGCCAAGTTGTACAAAACAAAAGTATTGAATTACAAATTAAAATAAGAAGTTGATTTTTAAAAATATTTAATTGTTATTAATAATATTTAAAGAAATATTAAATAGGTAATAAAAATTCGGTCTACAATAACTGTAATGTGCTTCTATGTGTTGAACAATTTATGTGCAACAGATATCTAATTATTAAGATATAAAACTTTAAAAAGGTTAGTATTAAAACTTACATAGTAGCACACAAAATGTTCAATAAGAAAATTGATGTTTGTCTGCTGCAGCCACCAGAGGATAGATATTTACATTTAAAATTTACGAATGTGCGTGTAAATATTTTCGTCCTAAGTGAGTGGTCTCAAAAACTTAAATCGGAGAATTTCTTCGAGAAAATTTCTGATACACACATGCTAAATTGTATTCACAAAATGCAAAAAAGTGAAATACAAAAAGAGCAACAAACACGATTATTTTTGTATTTGAATAAATATTTTGACAAAACCTGAGAAATAAATTTTTTTGCGCCGTTGGTGTGTTAAATTTCACAGAAACGAAGAAATTAGGTTTTTATTAACGAGAAAAGTATTTTAAACCCATATAGATTTTTTTACGAAAATGATCAGCAAAAAATGACAACTAATATATTTTAGTTCGCGGGCCACAAAAAAAAAAAGGCTCCGCTGGCCGGATGCGGCCCCCGCGCTGCCAGTTGGAAACCCCTGATCTAAACTCTTCTGATGTTATCAAATATTTCGTTAAGTATTTCTGGCGAAATAAGAACAAATGTATTATTATAGAAGTGTTTCCATTATTTTATTCACCCTCCTGTAAATACAGATTATAATTCTTACTCTAAGGATTATATAAAATCAAATTATTCTGTAAAAATTTGTTCAGGATTTACTTTTATTTGAAATCTTTATTTACGCAGCGAGGAAGGCATCCGCATTTCCTCTTTACGAGGATAAAATTATTCATTATCTATTACCATTTCCTTTATAATTTTGTGTAACACACTCAGATATTTTAGTTTTGTAAATGCTTATTGAACTGCACTCAACTCGTTCGATTTTTATTATTGTCATTCAATATATAATAACTAACAGAACAGTTCGTTCTTATCATCTAATACGTTCTTATTTTATTTTCCATCTTTAATTCTATCACGTAAGTAAATTAGTTACTTTTTTTGTAATATTGCTTTAATTTAAAATATTTCTATATATTATATTATTCAATAGTTATCATATATTTTAACAATGGATTTAAAAATATTTTACTACCCACAAACAATGTGTATTTAGTTTACATCATTTCTCATTTTATTGGAAATATATATTTACTAGCATTACTCCCGTAAAATAATACTCATTGTTACTTTGATCACAATATATATTTACAATGTGTGTTTAGTTTACGTCATTTCTTATTTTATATGAAATACACATTTACTAGCATAATTCGAGTTATAAAACAATTCTCATTGTTACTTTTATTGTAAATTATTATTCCATTTATTCACAGGCAGTACTATCAATTTTGCAAATTAAATATACATTCAAATTCTCGCAATTGCGTTCATAAAGTACTTAATACTTTTTTCTTTCACTGTTAGCCTATTTTAATAGTTTCTTTTTGTATTTTATTATAATGTATTTTTTAATTATTTCAGTTTTATCATTAAAATATTTGGTATTGAACTTTAAATTATGTATTAGCTATAGATATTTATAAAAATCAAACAAAGAACCATATTGAAATGTATTCATAAGATCTTCCCATGATATCTGTGTCTAAATTCAGCTTCCCAACGCTTTTTTTCCCATACGTTTAAAATTATTGTCTCTCCATGGGAGTGTCGGTTACCGAAACGTACAAGAACAGCACGATTATTTGACTTTATCCTTTTTGTTTGCAAAGGTATGAATCTTTAGTAAACGCCTAATAAGCTGGACTAAAAATAATTTTTGTAACTATATTGAGCAATAAGTAAAGACAGTTTAAAAAAAAAATAAGTGAATTGACCTACCGATTGATGCCGATATTTTTTGTGAATATGTACACCGAAGAGCCATAACATTATGACCACCCTGCTAATAACAAGTAGGACCACCTTTAGCCCTCAAAACTGCTAGCACCCGCCGTGGCATTGATTCCACAAGGTGCTCAGCACGAATTTGGTTTTCCAAGTAGGACCACAAATGCTCTATTGGTCAGGTGAATTTGGAGGAAAAGACATGACTTGAAAGTCAATGGAATGTTCCTCGACGATTCGACCCTTAGGACATGGTGCATTATCCTGCTGGTAAACACCATCCCCCGCAGGAAAAACTGTTGACATGAATGGGTAAACCTGGTCTGCAACTATGTTCAAGTAGCTTACAGACGTCAGGGGATTGTTCTATAAGGATTATGGGTCCTAATGTGCCCCATGAAAACATTGTTCCTGAGCGAGAAATAATGAAAACCTGGGCGAGCCCATTGTTATAGATGGAGGGTGGTCATAATGTAATGGCTCTTCTGTGTATATAGTAAATTAAGCTTATCTACGCAGATGCCATGAATTAATCAACAACGCACCAATATGGTAGGTCCATCTTGACTAGCAAAGTGTAATTCATAGTTTGTCCGCTTAAAACAGATATAATTTCGACACTTTCGAGGTACAGTAAAACTTGTGTAAGTTGACCACTTGTGGTGCATTGTTTTAGTGGTCAACTTAGACAAGTGATTAACTTAAACTTATAGAGGGGGTGGGTCATTGTTTACTTTTTCGTTTCCTATATCATGTTACTATATATTTAATTTTTTTTTGTTACTTGATTCAGAAAATATGCAAATGAATATCTTAAGAAATGTGTTTAAACCTGTATGAACTTCAATTTGATACATATAATTCTAATAACATTAACTAATTTTCAAAAAAAAAAATTATTTCGTTAGTTATGCATGTAAAGTCTTTAATAAATATAATTTCTTAAAATATCAGAACACAAAAACATGTAATTTAAAAACTTTAACAAAATAAAATTATTTGAACACTTTAAAATTTATTTACTACACTTAAAGATCAAAGACCATAAATAAAGGATCAAAGCATATTTCAGAGCATTCACTGGAAGAGCAATTTTTCAACTAACACACCTGTTTTCAATGAACGGATGAAAGAAATGATCAAAAGCAGCCCCCTTACAGTTTCCCCTGATGGTCAACTCACAAAAGGGTTTAGATTAGTTTTTTTACACTATTTCACCAAACAAGTGAAATTTTAACATACATTGCCAAAATGACAGAAAAGTTTCTGAATTTTTTTTTTCTGGTCAACTTATGAGGGTTTTAGAATAGAATTTCATAATACTCCTAGACAAAATTGATTTATTTCAGTGGTCAACATACAAGATAGACAGGTGGTCAAGTTACAAAGGTTTTGCTGCTTTATATTATATAGGAAAAATTCCGTTCTTGATAATTGAGGTCAACTTATGCAGGTGCCCAACTTACAAGGGTGGTCAACTTAGCAGGTTTCACTGTACCCGGTCTCACCCCTTTTCCCATCTCTTACCCACTCTCCCCTACATATTATGATTAATAATTATCTGATTATGATAATGATGAGAACTCCAATTATAAATTGTCGTATTATGATTATAAGTAAATCAATTTTAATACTCATAAGATTTTTATAATGGCGATAAATATTCTAATTATAATTAATTAATTACAATAATTATAAATAATATTATAAATACGCATAACTATTCGAATTTAAATTAGTGTAAAAAATTTTATCAAAGAGTATAATATTGTAATTTTAATAAAGTCAAGTAAGAATAAATTTAAATAGTCGTATGTTATAAATATGCTGTAGAATATAATATAAATGAATTTTGAATTTTGCATAACTAAGAAACTATTACTACCAAACGAGCATTTTCCTGCTTTTAACGTGTCTTATTCTATACAATAATAAAATTTTGAAGCAGAAAGTAAGAAATCACTTGTAAAAATTAATCTATCTGTAAAATCGTTTTCTTAAAATAAATTTCTTACTGTTACATTGATTTTTCTTCTTCTTTTTAACGTGAATAAATATTCTTATGCACACAGCGAAAAATATTGTGGTAAAATTACCGTACTGAATGCAAATGACGTTTCTGGTAAAAGAATGATAATTATGATGATAAAAACCAAAATAAACCGCATTTAAATCATTCATTTGATAATTTTTCTTTCATATAATAAGGATTTACCAGAAATTCGAATTTTATTATGGAAATTCTTGTTTATTCAAAATCACAGTTCTTATTACCACAGGTTTTGTACGAAATTCAAAACTGAAAAGTAAATTTAACAAAGAAGATAGTTTACATGTCAGGCTTTAAAGTATTTCGAAAAAATTATCACATTTACCAAATTTTATCACATATTATAAAACTATATTTCATTGTTAATTTAACTAAAATCTTACCGAAACTCTTCGGAAAAAACTATCGAGCTTTGTAGTGTTTCAATAGAGCGAGAAAAACAGTAAATTTTACCATATTTTGATATTTTTTACTATACTTTTCTTCTATGTTCACGATAAAAAATTATTCACAACTCAAAATTCACACTTCAAAGTTATTCACAACTTAAAGCTCAATTTTAAGCTTTTGTTGTAAAATAATTTGCTATCAAAAAGGTGTTTGGATACGTAGTATTTCATTTAACTATAAAACTTTAAAATTGGAAATTAGAAACAATTTTTAATTCTTTTTATTTATATAATCGCTTGCATTAATAAATATTTTAATTTATGCTAATATTAACTTCGAAATATTGCACAACTTACAGCGTGATTTTAAACTGTTACCTAAAGAGCCTTACCTAAAACTTTCTAACTTAAAAATTGTTTTGACGTGTTTTATTTTATAAAATAACGAAATTGCAAAATAAATAATAAAACTATTTTAACAATGCTGCATTAAAATAGTTTTCTAATTTTCAAAAGTAGTTTGCTCAAGAAACTGTAATCTCTTTTCTTTTCACTTTAAAGAACGTTTCAAAAGGGATGATTGATTGTTTAAATGTATGCTAAAATCAGCTTCATAAATTTACACTACTTACAACGTGATCTTAAACTGTTATTGTTAAATATTTTTTGTTATCTAAAATGCGTTTTAATGTGTTTATTTTATTTAGTAAATAAATTTTAAATTTTAAATTTGGAAAATAACATTAAAGATGCTTATCACTTTTCCAAAAAATTTCTTCATTTTTTTAAAAAAACAAGGATAATGACAATTAATAAGCATTCAGAACTAAACTATCTAAAACTATATTTTTATCTTTTTTAAACGTGACCTTGACCCTCTTTTTAGAACTTAACTTGACCTCATTCAGTTGTAGTAAAATAATTACCTAAAAAGTGTCGTATAATGAGTCGTATTTCGTACAAAAGTATAAAATTAAAAAACTACTTCAAAGAATTGCTAGATATATAGTCTTGAATTGCTAGACGTTTAGTTGTTTAAAAACAAATGTTATTTTTCTCAATAGACACATTAAGACACATTGCGGGTAAAGTTTTGAGCACATTTTTTTACTTTGTAATAATTTTATTTATTAATTTTTTTACTTATTTTTTTATAGAAAAAGGAAATAAAGTTTTCCCATACTTTACCGCCAGGTGAAATATCTTCTGCTGACTAATTTTCCCAGTGAGAAAAAAAGTATAATCAAATCTACTGATTATGGTAAAATTTACCGTGTTTAAGCCTCTATGGAAACACCAAAAAAACTCTTTAATTTCGACCGAAGCGCTGTGGTAATGATGTCGGTAAAATTAACAATAAAATATGGTTTTATAATTTGCTATGAAATTTAGTATATATATTCAAATTTTGGTAATTTTAACATGATACCTTAAAGCATGACATAAAAATTTGTATGGCATTTGTAACATGATTTTATGACATTAGTACTTTTACTATAAGATCTATCATTTTGAAAACCAGAATTTTGGTAAACCATTACCATAAGAACGGTAAAATTAACAAGTGAATGGCTTAAATACCATTATATTTTGGTTTAACCAGAATTATTATTATTTTTTATTGTTATTAATTTTTTTAACCAGAAATGCTATTACTATACAATAAGATAATTTTACAGAATTGTTTTCTCCG